GGGCGGCCATCCCCCGCGGCGGCCCCCCCGCGGCGCCTGCGGCTGTGCGGGCTGGAGAGCCGGTGGCAGGGAGTCCTCGCCACGGCTCCTCCCCCACCTCGGGAGCCAGGCAGAAGTCACCGACTGCGGAAGGGCGACCCGGGCGGCGGCAGCAGGAGGGGGTCCCGGCGTGCGCGGTTGGAAGGTGCTCTTGAGTTGGCTGCACCCGCTGTGGGGGTGTTTGAAAGGCTGCAGGGAACGCTCGGAGAGCTCAGCTCAGCGCTGCCCGGCTGGTGGAAGATGCGCCGCTGCGGGCTATGCGGACTGCGGTTCGAGGGTCTGAAACAGTTCCCTGCTATGGTCCGGCGAGAAACTCCTGCCGTTTTCACCTTCTTAGATAGGATCAGGAAACATGATAGGAGCTGTTGGCCGAGCCATGAAAGTTTAAGTGAGCCTGGGAATTGTGACCGTGACCTTACTCACTGCAGTCCGTTAGTAGCCTCGGAGCCAAAGTATCCCGTGCTTTTGATGTCCATTGGCTGGCTGTGTGTCTTTTCCCGTGTAATGGAAATGACAGAAAACCGTGTTGGTTTTTCTTAAAAGAACACTTCATTGAACGAAGTTGTTTCAAATGGCTCAAAAACATTGTTTCTGGGTTGTTATTGTGTCCCCAAGCCGAGCTGGGGAAAAGGTGTAACAGCGTTATTGATTCTATGTTTGCATGAAGTAACTTTTTTAAGCAGCTGAGAAATGATCATTTCTATCAGCTAGCTGCGCCTGGTCCACTGAAGTTCATTGGAACTTTCTGACAAACTTCCTGAGCTATTGGGAATGTACGTGGTTGTAACCACAGACCTTACTGCACCAAGTTTTAACTACAGAAAATGAAGTGAATTTTACCCTATGTAATAAGCCTACAATTTAGAGTTATGCGGTAAGGGCTTTTGTTATTTATGTTGCTAGTTCTAGGTCCCTTATTTCCAGAAGAGGACCTTAAAAACGAATGGAAAAGCATGTATTGTGTAGTGCTGACTCATCTCTCTGGGTGTTTGTACCCCCTTTGGGAGTTCTGGTGCTTTGGTCAGGAGAGTGTTGGTGTCTTAGGGTTTCATCTAGTAAAGTAGTGTCAGCAGTAGGCTGGGCAGAGAAGGAGCTCTCTGGGCAGGAGCCTGAATGCCATCAGTTTACTTTAGGAAATCTTGTATCTGAAAGTTGCAGTGCAGCCACTTACACTGCTACCTTGTGTTTATGAATTGCTACATTTGTTTTAGAGGTCCTTGTTTATTGTAAATGTTTGCAACTACTTAAGGCTTATAAAAATGTCTGACTTGTAGATAGTACATTTAGCATTATTTTCTTTTGTCTCAAGGAAAGTTAGTAATTCTAAGTTTATACACCAGAAGAAGGATGTTTCAGAGTATATAATGTAACAATGTTATTCATTGGACAACTATAAATTGGGCACATACAGTGCCAGGCACTGTGCAGAAGATTGTTTGAAATGGGGATCAGCAGGTGGCGAGGTGGTTAAGGCGCTGGATAGTCCTACATGGCTAACCATGGTTTGAGTCCCGGACCTGGTAGCTTGCTTTCTCACTTTCTCTCTCTCTCTCTCTCTCTGTGTGTGTGTGTGCAGTCAACATTTTAAAAACATAAATGAATGAGGAGATAAAAATAAATCTTAGAAAATTGTTTAAAATATCCCTTATATTTTTTTCCAAATGTCTTTATTTGGACGGCTCCAAGTCAACATGAGAAAGGTCTATTTTAAAGCCTTTTTTCTCAGAATGTCTGTTTTCTTTAATATATTTTTGAGAAGAGGATGGAGGTGTCTGTAAAGATGAAATCTAAGCACATAGATGCCATGTATTTCTGGTTGATTTCACTTTAGGTGACAGAGTGTGCTATTAGATAAATACTTTATATGACCTTTGCATCAAAGTTTATAGTATAATGTGAGAATAAATATGTCAGAAATACTAAGAAAGAGCAAGCATAGAGTTGTATACGCATGGTGACAGTTGAGAAGGCAGAGCAGAGAAGGAACAGATCTTTGGATCAGTCACTCCCAACATTTCTAACGTGATCAGGATTAATGGGGAAAGGCTTGTTAGGAGTATAGTGGTTTCATGTTTTTAAAATTCATTCGGACTTGTCATAAAGGCTATTTAGAAACAGCCAACAGCTTGGAGCACTAAAGTGAACCTTTTTATTTCATGTAGACATCTTTTATTAGGGTATTGGACAGCTTTCACATACTGTAGCAAAATGTTCTAATTCTTTAAATTCTGTTCTTGGACAGGGTAGGCAGTTTTTGCATCAGCGTTTGCATCTGTTAAGGTTGCTGGACTTGGTGATTTCCAAGGTTTTTCCTAATTCCCCAGATCCAGCTGCCTTTAACAGTCTACTGTGTTGCTACTATACACACTACTAGTATGTAATAAAGTTGCATTGCTATTCTAACTTGTAAACACAGCAACATTTAGAGAATCCCCTAGGCTTTAACTAGAGGGGAAAGAAATCTTTGGTGATTTAAGGAGACTGGGAACTACTGAGCCTGTTAGATTGATTGTAGTTGAACTGCATTGCAGTCTATTAAGTCAAAGCCTAGTT